CGCAGTGTGTCGCTAGTGTCGCTGACTGGCGCTCTGAGCTGGCGACTGATGACGGCGTGCGCCAGCTGCAGGACAGGAAGCCGGACGAGTTCCGAGTGAACGGGCGTGGTGCGCTCTGCCATGTGCATCCGGTCTTCGGAGAACAGCTGGTGGTACCGCGGTCCCAACGCGACGGCATCATCAAGTTGCTTCATGATGACCCATTGGCGGGTCACGCCGGATCCAAGAAGACCGTTCGGCGTGTACAGGAGCGTTATTTTTGGCCGGGAATGACCAGGGATATAAAACAACATGTAAAAGGATGTATCGTGTGCTGCACTGTGAAAGATAACCCTGTTCCGACGGCGCCATTGACACCGGTAGACACGTCTGCCCTGAACGTGTGGGAAAAAGTCTCTGTAGACATTGTTGGCCCGATCTTACCGGTGACAGAGAGCGGTGCTAGATTTATCGTGGTTTGTCAGGACTATTTTTCGAAGTGGCCCGAGATGACAGCCCTACCGTCGACTGAGACGGAGGTCATTCAGAGCTGGCTGTTTGATCATGTTTTCTGTCGTCATGGGTTTCCGTCTGAGATAGTAACTGACCAGGGGACGCAATGGATGAGTGCTTCGTTTAAACAGTTTTGTGAAAAACTAGGCATTAAGCATAGGACGACTTCTCCGTATCACCCACAGTCTGACATGGTCGAGCGTTTTAACAGAACACTGCTCAATATGATACGGTCGTATGTGGGAGAACACAAGGCGAGTTGGGATCAGAACTTACAGTCGTTGGCCTTTGCTTACCGGACCGCCGTGTGTGAGACAACTCAGTCAACGCCGTTCGAGTTGCTGTTTTGTAGACGCGCGCAGTTGCCGATTGACACGCTCCACTCGAGTATGCGCGAGGTGACGAGCTCGGGTCTCATGGCTCGGCTGTCTGATGTGAGGGCTACGGCTCGTGATGTGTCGAAGCGAGCAGCGGCGAAACGAGCAGACGGGTACAATTCGGCGAAACATGTCAAAGTTCGTGAGCTCAAAGTGGGCGATGATGTATTTTGGAAACGGCCTATTCGCAAGGTGGGTGTCTCGCCGAAACTGCAGCCGATCTGGTCTGGCCCGTTTACTGTCACCCACAGAACGTCTGATGTAAACTATCGCATCCGAGACTCTGATGGGAAATCGGTCGTTGTGCATGTAAATAACCTGAAAACCTGTCACGTGCCGCATGTCGCTGGACGCGGTGTCATTCGTACGAGAGGCAGGCCGCCGCTGAAGACGCAGTAGGCATAGTGTCTGTGTCTCCGTGCTCGTGCCTCAAGTGTCATTAGAAGCTTGTTTTTTTTTGTGGGGGGGGGAGGTGTGTGTTGAACTTGGTGGGGAGGTGTAGCGCGTAGTGCGCTTACGTCATGTGACTACCTCGCCCGGTCGCCACTAGAGGCGCTTGTGTTGAAATACACTCAGTTGACCGCTACAATACTATAAAACAATGGCAGCGCTGGATGTTTTCATTTTCTTCCTTTTATGCATGCGATTGTTGCGTGATGTCGGAAGGTGTACTTGCTGAGTGTTTTGGTGATAACTTTGTTCTTGCGAGACATGTATGCTTTTTGGATTCAGCATGTCAAATTAAACCACGCCCCAGTGGCGGTCTCAGCCAACTTCGCTATAGTGGGGGGGGGGGGCATATGTTCCCACCCACCTCTAATTAAAAAACTAAGAGGGCTAGAAAGACGCAGTTAAAAGCAGTCGATAGCTCTCAATGCGTAAGTTTGAAAGTATTTCAGTCATTTTTTATCTTAGAGCAGTATTGGGGTCACCAGAGGTCATCAAAGGTCAAAATTTGCCAAAGGTTATATTTTTCAGAAAACATGACGTTATCTCAGGAACTATGATAGCTAGAAAAACGCATGGAAGATCAATCGATAGTTTTTAACTCTTCTTTTGATAAGGTCATCATCAAAATTGAACTCAGGTCAACGGTTAAGCCTCCATAGGTCAAACATTGTAAAAACAGCTGTTTTTAAATACAACTTTTTTCACGAATAACTTGAACCAACAAAGATGAAGAATTGGTAATGGCACTATCGTGTTTCTCTCTTTCAGACGCTTCGAAAAAATGTATTTTTTACCTGGAAAGGTCAAGGTCAAACATTGACCTCAGGTCAAGGTCACTACGTGACCTTGACCTGAGATTGGTCACGTAGTGACAAATATTTTTTTTTTTTTTGTTCAGCAATATACGTTACATTTCGTCTTTTCCGGCGACCTAGCTCCGTGTCCCGCATATTCTCATTAACGTATCAATTTGTTGTTTCTGTCCTCGGGGCGTCAATCTGTTGTTTCTACCTATCGTCGTCCTCACTGCGCGACGTCCAACTACTGGCTGGACGGTCACCGGTGTGCGGCAAGAGCAGCTCCTAATCGTAATGAAGCAGGCTCCCATTCAGCAGGCTCCCATTCTGGGTGATCGTAAGCTCAGCTTGGTGGTCTGTCTCTGGGGACGGGAAAGACCAGTGTGGTCTACCAGAGGCCGGTGTGGGTCTAGAGGCTGGCATTGGCCCTCAGAGCAGCTCGGCACCTGACGCTCAGAATCCGCGGGACTCATCAGAAACCGATGCGGTCCGCAAAAAAATATATGCGTGCGGGCTCTCGGCATAAGGCCCACGGGAGCCGCCCGCCAGCCGGCGAAGGCCCACAGAGGGGGTTTGGGACACTCAGTAATCTTGGTACGTGGTACCTCAGATACCATGTCGTAGGAGACAGGTGCAAAGTCCTGTAGGGTCCTTACATGCCGGCATAGGCCCTCAGAGGTCAGCGTGATGCCCAAAAAGGTTAGTGTGGCTCTTCTCCGTCATCAACCTACGTGGGGCTCTGAAAGGCTCTGGAGACGGGGGTGTGTTTTGTTTTTGCAACCAAAGGAAGGCGCTATACGGATAATGCTCCGGGCAGCATGTTCCTTTGGTTGCGAAAGCGAAACACGTTGACCACCTATTTTGTTATTTTAAATAAAGGGGTTACCATTCTGAATTTTTGTGTATTCAGAGCTTACCTTAACCTCTACAAGTTGGAAACCACAAGTTCACTACTGGCGCACCCGTTTACCGTCCTCACTCGATCCTAGCCAACCCTAATTTTCCGTTTATTTTTAATGGGTTGTTTTAACCCCTCCTAGCCCTTCAACTCATGGCCTTAGGACCAACTCAGGATTGTTCCCAAAGGTAACCGACGAACAGTCTTACCGAACCATAACAACTTTTCTGCACTAGGTAAGTGTAAAAAGCTACAGCAAAACAAAATTATTTTTCCAGGCGTGGGCCAAAGTTGCCCTTGGTGGTCAAAATTGCACGAAACTACGCTGGCAACGCGCAACATGTCCCTGTTCGGATTGGAGGAGCCGACGGGTCTCGAGTGGTCATCCTTTGCTGACCGTCCCGAATGAGTGTTGAAGATAAACATATTTGCACACAGGCTGTTTGTTTCCGTTTTCCAGTGGAAGGGAGAAGGCCAGCAGTCTTCTCTCTCCGGTACCGTCATCCACCAGCGTGTGTGTGTGTGATGTGTAACGTACCACTGCATTCGCGCTTGTGTCGGGACTGCAGATTCACACTCTTGATTATGAATTATCTTTGACTGTTGTGCCACCTGATGTGGTTTCAGCACTCATTACAAATTATTAGTAGGTATTCGCCGATTTTTTTCTTTTCAAAATCATAGGTTTAGATTCCAAAAATATTTTACAAGATGTCAGCCGTTTTGTTTCATAGGGATATATTCAAACATATAAACATCCAAAACTCGTAAAAAGTAGGTACTTGTTTTTCTCCTCTACCACGGCAGCAATTCTGAAAGGATTCGGCACAGCACTAACAAGAAAGAGAATATAAGTACCGGTTGCAGTTCCCGTTTATTGATTTCAATTTTCAATATTGGGATCATTTAACCCGCGAGTTGCTGGGGGGGGGGCGTTAAACGCCCCCACTTTTTTCGCCGGGCCATAGCATAAAAACGGCGCGCCGCAGGGCCGCCAAATTTTGGGTACCTGTAGGGAATTGATTGAAGTTTATTATGACAAAGTGTCAAAAAAATCGGTCAGAAATTTTTTGAAATATCGAGGTTTTAGTGACGTCATGATTTTTGAGTTTACGACCAAAAACGGCATATGTTCAAAAAATCATATAAAATCACAGAATAGAAATAAACACATGCCGTAAACGCCATTAGACTGCCAATACCATGGACAATCAAATGGCTATCTTCGATTATTGATTATCGTTCCGCATTTTCCAAAATCTTGAACTGAATCTTGGCAATTTCTCGTGACTTCTTCACGGCCATGATACATGCATTTCTTAAATTGAGCTTTTTTAGCCAAACACGTACACATATGATAAAATGAATGTCACCATCGTGTTCTACGCCCCAAATTACCCATAAAACATGTGTCACAGGCTGCGAAAATCAGTTTTGATTTTCGGGGATATATGCCTACCTGGTTGACCTTCTTGACCCTGACCTATGCTTGACTGACCCCTACATGGAGCTGACACTCTTGTAGGCCTTATATGATGGATTGTGCACCGTTTTGACAGAGTTTATGACGAGAGACGCCCATTGCGAAGTCCTGAAGTCCATGCTACTGAAAGCCCGATTTCAGGTGTTTGACCTGACCTTGACCCGACCTGTGACCTCAAAATTCAACTTTAAAGTACTCAACTGAAGCGTCTCGTCGCGTTCTTTCGTTTGCCGCCTCGTGCGTTTCGCTGCGCCTATTGGTTCTCGAGTTATCGGCTGGGGGCGTTTAACGCCCCCCCCCCCCCCAGCAAACGGTGGGTGGCGAAATACCCCAGCAACTGCCGGGTTATTTCACATTCATTAATGAAATGAACTTGAAGTGGTACTGTAGTCTGTACAGCTGTCGCCTGTCGCCATCATCCGTAAATATCTCAGACTTAACATATAATAGGCATTGCTCCCTGTCTGTTGCCTACTCTGATAGCTTCCGTTTTGTATTTTCAGAATAATTCGCCTGTTCCGATATAAGGGTGTTGTGAAACAGTGGGCCTTCAACGGTGAAAAGGAAGGCAACATCAAAGGCAAAATAGAGTTTATACAGGAGTCTCCCTACACGATAACGAACACGGAGACGGACCTCACTGGACTGGACGGCGCTGCCGGAGGCTACCACGTCCATCTGGTAAGGACGCTTCCTATGTGCGCCACGGAGTGTGCTTCACTTAATAACCGTTGAACACACACAATCATGCAATATAATAACATAATATGCATTGGTAAGGCATGGGGCCGTGTGTTTCAATATGCCAATGACCTACAGGTGCCTGTACAGCTTAAAGACGAGTTTCCGTGCCATAACATCGCTATCGGTGGTCATTTCAATCCGTACGGGATCAACCCCAGGGCGTCCCCACCGCCAGGACACGGCTCCAGCGACCAGTACGAGGTGAGACGCAAAACGATCAACACAGACGGTTGGGCTCAACGAATCAAAATCAGTCGGGGGAGGTTTGGTCAATCGTTGTCATTTTTAGCACATGCCATTTTTGGCAACCATGTGCTAAAAATGACAACGCTATCAGCTATTTTTAGCAACGATGAAGCCGATTTCACTCATCAGCGAGGAAATCACGATTTTGGAAATACAAGCACTGATTTTGGAAAAGAAGTGCTGCCACCTGGTGCAAGAAGAAGAAACCAGCTTTAATATGGCCGTTGTTTGTATGGTAGTCCAACGTTGAAGTATACCCTTTTTTGTGGCCCGAAGTTGGAACTTTAAATTGAAGCATCCGAAAATGATCGATATTGATCGAAATCATGATGTTGATGAAAAAAATAATATGTTAAGTTGAGAGAGGAGGCCATTTTATCCAGATGCGGTGGTTTACTTCTTGAAATTATTTTTGCTTACGACGACTGCCATGTAATGAGGGATAATTAGCAGCCGTCATTAGCAAAAATAATTTCAAGAAGTAAACTACTGCATCTGGATAAAATGGCCTCCTCTCTCAACTTAAAATATTATTTTTTCATCAACATCATGTTTTCGATCAATATCGATCATTTTCGGATGCTTCAATTTTAAGTTCCAACTTCAGGCCACAAAACAAACTACCATACAAATATAACGGGCATATTAAAGCTGGCTTCTTCGTCTTGCACCAGGTGGCAGCACTTCTTTTCCAAAATCAGTGTTTATCTTTCCAAAATCTTGATTTCCTCGCTGAGGAGTGAAATCGGCCTCATCGTTGTCAAAAATAGCAGAATCGTTGTCATTTTTAGCACGTGTGACAAAAATAGCACGTGCTAAAAATGACAACGATTGACCAAACCTCCCCCGACTGAAATGCCACAGCTCACAAGATTGTGGTGTTGATACGGTGACTCCTGTGCTGTTGGGTTGGCAATTGCTACAAAGACTTTACAGAAAGCTTTCGTTGGTAGTTATCAGCCATTTTTTTTTTTAGCTTTGTTGTTAATCTTCTAGTCTGCTTAATCCAAACTCCTGAATTGCCCAGGGTGGGAAAAATGGCCATTGGCCAGCGTCACTTCGCGAAGTATAGCAGTGTCGTCAATTGTTAAAGCCTTGAATTGGAACACTGAATGTTGTTTTCGTGCTCTTCTTGCATTTCGTGCAATATGGTGATGGACGACGGCTGTTGTGGCCGGCAGTCTGGGGACCTCAGCGGCAAGTATGGCGAGCTGACTGGCAGGAGTGAGGTGCAGCGTGTCAGCAACGACACCAACCTGCAGCTGTTTGGGCCCGACACCATCCTGGGCCGCAGCGTGGTCATCCACCGGGCCGCTGACCAGTCACGGTAAACGGACCCACCCAGCGCCTCCATGGGGCAAATAGTGTGCGGTGTAACTCTTCACTGGCAGCGCGTACCGTGGACTGTGTTGAATGATTATTCACGTACTCAGGAAACGGGGAAGAGAAAGACTTGCGTTGAAGACTTTCCTTTGCTATTTGTCTGTTTTTTTTTTTACGTGTGCTTTTCATTAAGGTCGTTGCTTCTTCGTTGCCCTTCTTTGCTTTTGCCTTTGTCATTCGTCTGCGGGCCCTCGGTCGGTTTGCATGTTAACTTTTTTGGCCTCTACGGCCTAGTCTGAACATTTGTTTAGCATCTAATAACATTTATTAGATGACTTCAATATGCTTACCGGACAGGCAAAGCTGTTCACGCCGTGTAACCGATGGCTGCCTCTCAGATGGATGTGCGGTAACATCCTGTGGGGCTACTCGCCGGCCGAGGCACGTCAGGTGACCGCCATCGCTTCGTTCCACCACCCACACGGCTACGCCTGGGGATACATCCGATTCGTAAGTGAAACGCCGCCCACGTAAGTTGAAGGTGCATTACTCGATGTAAGGCATGCAATATTTTGTTTTCGCTCAAGCTTTAAGTGAGGATTCGCAATTATTAGGGATTCTTGATTTATCTGACACGAACACGTTTTAAGTACAATAGGTGTGCAGTTTTCTGCTGGTATGCTATGTTTGTAAGCCTTTGCCGCCAAATGTTTTAGAAACGTCGTTTCTGCCATTCCGTTGCGTCATTATGTTGTCGTGTTTACATACAATAAATAAGCGCCCTGCTCTACGCCATTCGTGCGGACACGGCAGATCCGAGATCGCGGCGCTGTCCGGTATGTAACATCTTGCATCCACGGGGAAGTCGGCTGGTGTACTTAACGGGTGTACCGTCCGGCGTCCCTGGCTTAGTCCAATGGTAGTGATCTCGACACGGAAATAATGCGGACAGTTAGGACGGGTATAACATTCTGCCGTTCACCGACCCGGCAGAGCCAGCTGGTGTACCACACGGGCGGCCGCAGCGAGACGGTGATCGAGCTGAACCTGCGCCACCCGGGCTCCAACGACCGCAACGTCACCTCGGGCCACAACTGGGCTATCTTCGTCAACCCGGTGGGCCACGACGCCGCCGTCAAGTTTTTCACGTCTCGCTGCACAGCCGGTGGCTACCGCTGGAACCCGGACTTCATCCACCTGGCCAATCCGAATGCGGTGAGCTGTTTGAACTCCCTGGTGCTCCCTCTCCGTCCGTCTGTGTTCGGCAACGACCGATGGAATCATTTAACAGTGATCGTATGTTCAGTTGTTTAGTTTAAACTGAAATTAAACCTAATATGTACTTATGGGACACTGCTGTTGTTGGGCCAAGCTGGCCGCTTTTTCTGGAAATACGGGGAACCCGATCCGTTAAGTGAAGACATTGACATTGTTGCGTTTACGCAGACGCAATGGGTATTGGGTTTAGCTGGCCCTGTCCGAGGCACACTAAGGTGGGCGGAGCTCAGCAAATTTTGACAGCCCACTTTTGCTATCTGGGTGTTCGCTTCAAACACCGATGAACCTCTTTCAAGTTGCAAAGCATTAATCGTTTCTGTGGGCATATTTTTCCTCCAGTATTAATTATGGAAAAAATCAGGCGTCTGACGGCTGTCGTCTTGGAGGTAAACAAATAGGATAGCTATACTAGCTTCGCCTTTTCTCCGCCTCATCTCACAATGATGTCCCAATTTTCTGACAAGGATCACTAACGCACACCTTTTCCAGCTACAACCTTTTCGCTGCACAAGCTTTGTGTATTGTCATTTCAAATACGTTTGCTTCCTTTCTGCCCTGGCGGACCATGCTACAGGTACTGTGGCAGTGTTGTCAGTATACGAAGTTTTTATGTCTGACAGTGCTTTGGATATAGTTTGCTTTCAGCTGCTCTAGCATTTTGTCATAAATTACGCCTTTTCACGTGCATCATCACCATCAATCGCCGCAATGTCAGTTTCTGTGCTACCTTGCAATTTTAATAGATTTGATCGCAGAATGCCGGCGATTTATTCGCTTTTTTCTAGAACATGTTGTCTCAGCTAGTATTTGTTTCTATAAGGTGATCCGAGCAATCAAAACCTTCATAACGCATTTACCCTCGTGTGCCGCCCCCTCCCCCCCCCCACACACACACTCTTCGATGGCGCTCTGAACGGAGGTTGCAGGACTGCCGTACGAATCGTAGCGGGTCTCGGTTTCGTCACTGCAGTGTACACAGAAGGCTGCATCCGTTGCCTCGATAGCTGACAACTTTGCCAGATGTTTACGGAATCATGTGTAAAGAAGCGATGCGGCTATATAACTGCAATGAAAACCCTAAGCCTCTTAGCCTCATGCTAATAATTGTATTCAAAATAGGGCCAAGAAAATAAATATACACTTCAATTAATAAATATATACAATAAATAAACGCTTCTGAGCCTGCTTGGCATGGCTCACCCACTGACTTACTCACTCACTCACTCACTTACTCATTCAATCATCCACTCATTCAACCACTCAATCACTCACTCATTCAATCACTTGCACACATGCTGCACAGTGCACACACACACACACGCACGCACGCACGCACATACACACATAGGATTTGCTAACCAATTTGCACACACATATAGGCTCTTTCATTCTACCATCTTTTCATTTATTTGTTCACATACCCGATTCCTACCATTCAAATAGACTGGGTTCATTCATGTCATCTGCTGTCTGTCATTTGTTATAATCACTGCGAACGACCGTGTTTTTGCTTGTGAATCGAAGTGCTTGTATGTGTTAATATTTATAACTCACTGTATGTATGTATGCACCATTCCGCAACTAGGAGGAAGATATATTCACTGAGCAGGCTTTGTGTGACGTTTAAAAATTTTAAAAAAACTGTGAAATGATTGTTTGCTTCAGACCTGACGATGTGCTATGCACGAAACAGTTGTCTTATTTTCTTGGTCCTATTTTGAATACAATTATTAGCATGAGGCTTATGGTTTTCATTGCAGTTGTATATATATATATATATATATATATATATATATATATATATATATATATATATATATATATATATATATATATTAGGGTGGCACTTAAAAATCAATTTTTGATTTTTAATGCGTGCGGGTGGTTTTCCGGTTCCATTCCCGTAAAAAATAAGGGATGCAAATTTTTATTGAAAAATATTGATGTTTAGAGGTCGCGAATCAAGGTCAAAATTGAGATTTTGGTAGCATATTTCAATATCATTAAAATCGTTTCTGACTTTCCTATTACGCTGTAATCGGATGATAATTAGGCATTTCTTAGTATTTTTCATATTGTTTATTGATATTTCATGCAGCTTCGGTCACACCAAAACGCTCGTCTATGTACTCCACTACTCTAGTTCCTCCTCTTTAGTAGATATATTATTGGCGCCTCATTGGAGGGAGGGGTATCATGAGCAACGGGCACCCAGATCACTTTGTGTGTAGCCTGGTTAGCAATTTGCAGTCGATCTTCGGGTGTCAGGTTAGCGTTTTCTGTGATCTTTTAAACGACATGGAGGAAGAACTGGCGCTAATCTTTGTCTTTCATGAGTGCCAGTCCTACATCAGCGCCATACCGCGCCTGGTGAAGTCATTCACCACCCGCAGCTCCCGGACTACACGAGCTGCGGTTTGGTAGCTGCTGTCCTCCCAGTGGCCTTGGTCATTGATTATTAGCCCCGCGTCCAGGTTGTAGATCCTTGAGAGCTTTTTGAACGATGGTGTGAGGAAGCTCGCCAACGTCTCGGTCGCGAGAGCGGCGTTCATAGTGTCCACTAAGGACTTATGGGGCGGGTCCTCGTCCTCCCTCTCCTACAAGTCTATTGCCCGCACCATGTCTTGATTGAGCCCGAGGGTCGGGGTCTAAAAGCTCCAGAGTCACCAGCCGATCGCTCAAGTACTACAGGTGACGGCCGAAGACCGGGACTGTCGCCTTCGACAGCTCCTTGTCGGGGTAGGTGCAGAACGAGTTCACGAAGGTCAGGTCCAGAGCCGGCGCAGTGGCAGTAGAGTCCCAAACCAGGCGGCGGCGGCGGCGGCAAACTTGCAGGCAACGGACAGCGCACAGCGTCTGATGACCTGGGCCTCGGCCGCCGTCAGCCGGAGCCGCTCCCTGAAGAGGAAGGCATCCACAAAGCGGATGGTCTTTGCCATCCACCTAGGTAACTCAGTGGAGTACTCTGAGGCGGAGAAACGGATGCCGTGCTTGGAACAACTCCATCGAGAGCAATTACGCAGAGCTCCAGAAGTTTTCGGTAGTCTCCCCAGTTCCCGGAGCTAGGCATAGTCCAGCGATGGAAGCGATGGAAGCCGACCAGCAGCTCGTCCCACTCCGGAAGGTCGTCGACGGCGAACGCCATCGGTGTGATCCTGTCAATGAAATATGAACTCCCACCCGCCTTTGAACCTCTTAAACAGCCGGATGTAGAGGCCGCTCGAGATTCTAGGGCAGGTGGGCCTTCTCTAGGACCAGTTCTTACACGTGGTGCCGGCAGGCCAGCTGGAGGACGGGCCGATCCAGCTTCTGCTCGATAAGGGCTAAAGTACCGTTCACCAGCATGCTGTTCGCCGTCGTGGCGTCGAAGCAAAAGGCCGCAGTTCCGCTTCTCCAGTTCTTAGTCCCCCAGCGCTGTGAGCATGGCCTCCTGTGCTCGGATGGAGGGGAGGTTGGGAACGGCGAGGAGCTTGGCCACCCCAATCCATCCCCCTCCCCATCACCAGGACCTAGAATCGGTCGACGCTCCTTCTCTCGCGATTCAGGATTCGCGGTTCAGCCGGAGTCGTATCCTAAGTTCCATGCCGCAGTTGATAACAGGCTCACGTGTTCTTCACACATTACGGTTGGGCAGTTTGGCCCGGTCGAGGCCAGTTCACTGTTGGGGACGTCCGCTCGCCCACATGCGCTTGGGAGTGTGAGACGACGTTTCTCTCATGGTCGCCATCGTCAAAGACGTTCCCTCCGTGTGCGCGCCGCAGCGGCCAGGTAAGTCTGTTGCTGGCACTGGCACTAAAGTCGGAAGAAGCGCCCACGGAAGAACATCCCGAAAGCACAATAAACCAGTGCAGCTCAATGCACACTCTCGCCTCTGCTTTCGCCCGCCGGCGATAGACTGACTCCAACTTCTTAACATTCTCTTTGACAGAAGAAAGAAGCATGTCTCAAGAACCGATAGAACCGTGGGGCTCGTCCTCCCTTTGGAACAGGAGAGACCGGTCACTCCTCACACTATTCAGAGGATATGACCTCCACTGTGAGAAGGCACCGGTCGCAGGCCAAAACAGGCCTGACATGGGTAAAACAGCCCAGATCAGACCCGTCTTGGCCTGACCTGGACTGGCTACGATCGGCCGGAAGTGATGGGATAAACAATTGTTAAACAAATAACTAAAGGTCAAAATACGTCGGAAATGACGCTTAATGACCACATATGTCATTCCAAAAAGGTTTAAAGTAGTTTCCAAAAAGTTGGATTTTTCCCCAAAAATATCAACTTTGACCTCAATTCGCGACCCCTAAATATCAATATTTTTCCAAATCATTTTCCACACATTATTTTTTACGGGAATGGAACCAGAAAACTACCCGCACGCATAAAAATCGGATGACATAAAATTCACCCTATTGCTAAGTGCCACCCTAATATATATATATATATATAATCATGAGCCTCAAAACCGCGCTTTCTTTAATCAAGCGATGCGGCATTCAAGTAACATTTTCATGTTCTCATTTGCACCCAATAATGCGTCTTAAATTTCACTTCCTTTTTTAGCTGGATGGCGCTTACGCGCTTCACAAGAAGACGGATTGCGGTTTAGTGCTAATTCCCTCTAGCTGTCGGCCTGATGCGCAATTTCGAGATGGGAATGCTGTTTTATGACCTTTGGCCAGTGCCGACTGTGTTCCAGTAACGACCCACTCCTGTCCACAGCACGACTTTTACAACGAGCAGTGCAGTCCGGAGACGCCGCTGCGGTGTGAGATTGGCGACCTCAGCGGCCGGCTGGGCACCATCGACCTCGGCCAGAAGCGGGTGGTCATGTCCGACCCGAACCTGCCGCTCGGTGAGTCGCCACGCACGCCGGCCCTGAGCTGGTCACTGCTCAGCGTGGCCGGCTTCCATTCCATAATGGAATGGAATGGAATGGAATGGGTCGCTCTTAGGATGGCTGAATGGGAAGACAGGGACGCCCGCCCGGGCTGGATCCCGAAATTGATGCGCGGTTGGTGCCGCATGTTATGCTGCCCCTCCCCAATGCTCCCGAAACAAATGCAATTTTACCAGCTTTGGCACCACTGACACCTTGCTGGTCACACGATCACGTGAACCAAGCGGCTAACCCGACCTCCGCCGGTAGTGGGCGCGAGAGGCCACTCTCGTCCAGACAGGCAACGTGGAGAAACTGCATATCACCAAAAGTGAAAAGGCACAAGCTAGGGTGTCCCAGAATTGATGGCGGTCTTCGAAAAGTTCGTTGATCTCAAGTTGAATATTTTGCAGTGATGTATTTTTCAAAAAATCATGTGCAGTGGCATGAGTGCTTATTGTTGCACGTGCTGACCTACTTTCTAGCATATGAAAACTCGTCGAGATGTCTCTATTAAAGGGAGATAATGAGCTTTCTTTTTTCTTAAATAAAAATTACTAGACATCTATACTATTTCTACTGTAGTTTCTATAAAATATGAAAATTTCCTAGCACATTTTCGTATGTGAAAAAGGTTTTTATTTTTGCAAAAAAGAAGCAGTACTTGCAGTACTTGTAACACCCACAGAAATGCGTTGTCCTTCTCTATAAAAAGTCGCAGTATATGGCGCTTTTGTTTCAAACAGCGACGCTTGGGTTTTTGCGACCCCCACCGGACACGATTTGGTAGCCGAGGTCTGTGACGTCAGCCGGGCGTGAAGTTTCCCCTTCACCATAGGCTTCACACACAAACCGGCCGAAGTTCATGCCAGGATAGCCCGGCTTGAAAGTGCAAAAATGATTAAATTTTGCCCTCAATAGATTCATTGCTTCATTTTATAACTAAAAACGTCCGTTATTAGGACTCAATGAAGGTAAAAAGTACTCAAAATCGAAGTTCAAGAAGATGCTGTCCGAGCACAATCTGGTAACATCACGTGACCTCTTTTAAGCAGAATGTATATAATTCAAGGATGTTATTACACGATTGCTGCCTAAAACATCATAAATAATACGCTTGTAACATTTATTGCTTCTGTTTAAGTCATAACATTGCAAAACGCAAAGTTTATCATGGAAGTCACGTGACCAAAGGTATAGCAGGGGTTGGGACAAGCACTCAAAGGATTTCAAGTTTTTTAATTAAATTATATAAGTTTCATGATGGAATTGAAAGAATGTATTTTTTCCTAATGAAATACAAATTTCCGTATGTAAAATATTTTCCTTATGGGCGAAATTATCCATATAAGAAATGTCAGTGACGTCACCAGGGCTTTACTGGGCTTTACTCAAAACATCGGACCTACCTGTTTCTTATAGGTATCTTGGGTTTTTGTTTATGTTATCGCCTTGTCGTTGCTTGGTTGTAAGGATTCTAATATGAATTAGAGTTAATTCGGTTTAGAATTAATTAGATTCTAATTCAGGGGTACATAGTGCCTACTCTTCTTTGTTTCCAAGTATTATTTTGCGCCACAAATGAACGGTATGCGCCAGAAACGCAGCCAAATCTTGCGATTGCGACTACGAAATTCATTATTTTGGGGTCAGAGGCTGAAGCGAAAAATACAAGCATATTTATTTCAAAAAGACTTCAGGTTTGTCGAACGGTGTTATGATAATTTTGATAACAGTACTGCATAAGTTTTTCAGTGATGCCGCAAAAGTGTTGTATCTATCTTCTTTTATTGTGCAGTCGGCGGGACCGATTCAAAATTGAGTCGTTGCTACTAAAATAGCAGCATATGGCGTCAGATGATGAACAGGAAAAATAGTTGCGTAAATTTAGACATAAACCACCCCCAAACCATGAATATCTTTTGAAGGCACTATAGACGACCATTAACTAACTAGTTGTGATGAAGATCAAATGTAAGGAATACGCTCATTTTACAAAATTACATGCAAGTACCAAAAAGTGATGTAAGTACTTATTCAACGGTCATTTTCAGCGCTCCCCGCTAACGTGACTTCAAGTTGAGATATTTGCGGCAAGGTACCGAATTGAGCAAAATGGTTTTAATTTACATTATAACTTGTTGTGTTTTGTCAGAAAATGGTCCTAACTCAGATTTGGAAAGTGGGAAAAGGTCATTATCTCCCTTTAAGGGTTTCTAAAAATAAATGTCGAAAACCCTGAAGAGGTGTCCAGTATGCGCCGGGAGCACTCTTTGGCAGTGCGCTTCCGGACCGCTGGCATGGTTACCGGCGGCATGAAGCCAGGGCAAGTCGCCCAAGACCTGGTGATTCCAAAGCGGTCGCTGAAACGTTGGCTTGCCCTCACCGTGCTGGCAAAGGGCTGGAGAATCATGAAGGACGTGGTCGCAAGTCCACCACCACGACACACGCATTGCCAAAATCGTCATCGCGAAGTCCGCCTTCAAGCGGGGGCACTTAACCAGAAAACTGTCCAACAAGCTTTCACAGCGAGGTTATCCGGTATCAAAGTCCTCTGTACACCGTTATTTGAGGACCTGTCTTGGTCTTGGTCTCAAGCCTCTCAAGCCGCAGCTGCAGCCTAAGCTGTCCCCGGAACAGAGGTGCTGACGTCTGGTTCGCCAAACAGCACTCCACCTGGACATTGACGACTAGAGACGGGTCATGTTCAGCGACGAGTCGCCCTACTAGCTAGTAGCTACACCACCCACTCAACCGCCAAAACGACCGAGTTTGGGCCCATGGCTCTTTTGACGTCCCAACGGAAACTGTCAAGCACCCGACAAAGGTCATGGTGTGGGGCGCGATGAGCTTCCGAGGGCTGTCTGATCTGCACGTGGTCCCCCGCGGTCAGACTGTCAAAGCCAGCTACTACCAGGACAACACCCTCTAGACGGCCCTGAAGTCGGCGCTGAGCAGAACCCGTGAGAATTGCCCTCCGATAAAGGTCAAACTCCACCCTGACATGTCCAAGGTCATCTTCCAGCAAGATGGCGCCCCGGCTCACACCGCCGGCACGAGCCAGCAGTGGTGCGAGGAGCACCTCCCGGACTTCTGGCGGAGGGGTCGAGCTTATCACGCCAGGAAGACCCAGGACTGGTACCGAGCGAGGCTCCCAAGCCTCTGGGAGAAGGGGACATGTCTGGCAACAGTCTGGACCTGTCTCCGATCCAAACTATCTGGACGATCGTCAGAAAAGAGCTAAGCAAGCTTCCACCGGCTAGCTCAGAGAAGAGGCTGTTTCAGAACTTATAAACGACATGGCGTAGTTTCAAAGAAGAGACTCTTGACAACCTGCAACGTGACACGCTAGAGTGCAATAGGCCGTGCAGGGGGGAATGGGGTAATTTGGCCAGTAGTATAATTTGGCCGCCCCCACCTTTACGATATCTGACAAAAGTGAATGAAAAAAGTCTAGCCTCTATCAATGCGTCATTGGTGGAACTAATCCGTGGAAAATTTTCCAAGCTCTCCCCCTCGTAATTTTCTTCAATATCAATAAAACTGAATTTCATTAGAAATGGTAACTTTTAGTTCTATTTAAAAATTGTACAGCGTGTAGTATTTAGGCTGTAAACGAATTCCGACAATGTGGCGCTATTCTTGGGGGTGTTTCGCGTTTCCAAGAGCAATTTCACCTATTTCCGTAAAACCGTAACGACTTTAAAGACATTTTTCAGAATGGCAATGCAGGGTTATTTGGCCGGGGCTAGTGGAGCAGCTTTTCCGGTGCTCTCAGGATCGCTATGCTGGGACAGCCGAGTTGCTAAGCTCGCATGGTGCCGAGCTGGTTGGGTTCACAGCCGCCGGCGGTGGCATTGCGGCACAGTCTGCCTTCTAGGGGCTGGTTAAGACACTGCACAACGCATTACGAATAAGAAGCCAGGGATTTGCTCAAACCAAACTGTTAGTCGCATCTCCAGTTTGCAAAAAGTATCGAACACGGGTTTGCGGACATGGGAAGGCTACAAGACGTGAGAGTTTGTTTCTGAGTTAAGTTATTACGGAGCGAGCGAAGCGAGTGTAGTCTTTCCTTAGATTAACGGAAATTTCTGAGTATGAACGGCCGGCCGACCGGCCGCTCATACTCAGGCTTTAGGCACGGTTAACTCATGGCACGTTTAGGCTGCGAACAAGATGTCTATTCGCTGCCAAGAATGCAAAACATAGCCGGGTGAACAAACTGTGAAGGACTGCTCCGGTTGTTTTTCAATAGAAAAACACAATTCTTACGATTAGTGTTTACTGTTTGTCTAATGAAGAAACAACCAGATAACTAATAACCCAAGCCAAAAACAGGACACACCCTTAGGAGACCATTTCCGTCACCCACAAACGACCGGCAACCTCACACACATAGATGTTGAAGTTTTATACCGGGCAAGAGACCATCCTGACCTCAAAATAGGGGCATTCCACGATAGATCGACCAAAAAAACTTAAAATTTACACCCGCATATTTTATTTTTTGCTTAAAATTGGTCTAATGGGTTGTCATGGGCGGGGAACCCAGCTGTGGCAAGGATTTTTTTCTTCGAACAACGGTTTCCGAGATATAGCCTCGGGCAGTTCCTGGAGGTCACGCTGCAACCCTATGTTTGGCGGCTTATAACTCAGAAACTTTTGGTTTTCTATGGTAAGAACTTGATATGGTTCAACTCGCAATCAACCAACAAACGTTTTGGCTATCTCGGATTTTCGAATTTTGAAAATTTTGATCACGTGACATCTTGACCTTTTTTTCGAAGAGTGGCCTTGATATTTTCCCAACTGAAAGTCGCAATTTTGTCTGATGACGATTAAAGCCTTATCAATTGTCATTCATATGCGATAATAAAAAAAGTGGCTTTCGGCCTGCGTTGACCTCAGGTCAGGTCATTTTTATGACCTTCCCATTATTACGAGCGGGAGCGACAGCGAGATCTCGAGAACAAAGC